ATTCGAATCCACTCAATCCCTAAATCAATATTGGATTTGTAGTTCTATCATTTTTGCTTCAAGAAGCATACGTTCAACACATTCATTTATTCTTAAATACGTGAGCGTTCATGACTCACTGACGGGGAGTGCTCGGTACTGACAAAATCATCAAGGTGTTTGGGAGCAAACGCCCTTCTTCGCTTGATCGTTGATGACTTTAGTGAATTTGATTGTTTTTATAAAAAACAGCAACCATTTTCACGCATTGAACTTCAGTCGAGTTTACACATCGTTCGCTAAGCTCCTCTCGCACTGCTTTATAGACAGTGTTGTGACAAGATTTTGTCTGGAAAATTGAAGCTGTTTCGGAATTAGGTTTATTGGCTTTAAAATGTCCACCAGCAGGCAAATTACAATAATTAACATCTCCTTGTCCTCATCCTTTTCTAGCTGATTCAGAAATCCTTTGGCCAAGCCACTGACTTCATGGTCTTGATTTTGAAATAATTTTCAGCGCTTGTTTTTGCAAAATTCTATAGTTTGTGTAAGCTAACTCAAGAAGCACGTTTTTTAAACATAACAATTAAATAATATTCTTAAATTTTGAGGCCCCCAAGACATTGAGGCCTTGGGTAATTTTCCCCTTGCCCCTCTCTCAGCGGCCCTGCCTACACATTAGACTACGTTTTTCATACTTATTCATAGAAAATACAAAATATAAAAAAAACAACATCTAAAAGGATGTAAATTAATTAAGCCTGCATAATTTAAAGGTCTAAAAACACAACTCAGGTGGATAACTGGACCATGTTCGACAAAATTGAGGTTTGATTTCTACTACACTTCTTAAATTCCAATAGAGTACCAAAGTCTTAAGTAATAAAAAGTCTGACCACATAATTTAAAAGAATGGCTAAAATACCCCTCGACATGCAAAGATGGGTTCAAAATGGTGCGAGATCTGGCCAACGAAAGATGTCAAATTACTGTTATTCTGGCCTTAAAAATTTATGAACGAAGATCAAATTTCATGAACGAAGATCACATAGCCTCGATGGGTAAAGAGCCTGTGCTAATGCGGCCATATGTCACAGCAGTGGCGGCCTGGCCCTTTTCGCCTAGGGGCGCCAGCATCAAAATGGCGCCCTCCATAACTAACACTATCGTCTTTTTCCTGACAATAATTACAGTCCAGGGGCGGTGCCAAGAAATTCAAAGTTGGGGGGGGGGGGCTCGAGTTAATAGCTTTATTTGACTAAAAAGCCAACATTGGGAAGAGTCGGCGAGAGGTTGTCGGAAGCCCTTGGTATAACTCTGAACAGAGGCTTTCTTGCGAGCGTAGCGAGCTGACAATTTTTGCGACCACGCCCTTTAGATAAGCTTAAAATACATTTCAAAATATTTCTTGCAGTCATTTTCTTGAAATCGTTTAAAAATTCTGCTATTTTAAAAGCATGCTTTTAGTACGTTGATTAATTCCAGTCTTAAAATGGATTTCATTACTTTGTAAGAGGGAAAAGAATCCACCCTATCGTTGTATCGTCGAGACAAATTGGTCCTTCCATGAGAAATGAAGCAAAGAGACAAAATCTACTTACCCCTACATGAGCACAGGGACGCAAATAAAATAATTTTTCATGGGGGTGTCAGGAAAAGTTGGACCGACTCACGTACAAAATAGACTGTCTCTTAGAAGTCAATCCAAGCAGATAAACTAAATAAAAATATGTCAAGAACATGTTTAGGGAACTTTCAAGAGGCTCTGCGATGTGGTTGAATAAGGGGTTTTGTTCTCTTTGTAACTGTTGTGTTCATTTGGCACCTTGGAGGGGAATCCAAAGCGCCAGATAAAATATTTACCTTTGTTTTGCTAAACTTGCACTTTGGGGCAACTAAACAAGCTCAAAACATGCATACAACTCAACTAACAGTCAAGGGGAAAAATAGGGAAGTGTAGGGGTAACAAATAATGGAAAGAGTCGGTCCTAGCCAATGAGTAGAGGATTCCAGTTACTCATAATGCTAGAAAATGCGTTGTGATAGGGTTATTTGCCAAAAGAATGTATCCACCTTATCGTTATCGTCGAGACTAAATGGTTCTTCCATCCATGAGAAAAGAAACAAATAGACACAATGATAATGTTTAAACGTCTTTCTTCAGATCAAACGATCTTTCCGCGATAAAAGGTTCTATAAATATAATGTTTCTCTACGGTTGTCCCGTAACGTCGATTCGTTCTCTTAATGTCAGCAGGCGCGCAACTACAGGGGGGGTCCTGGGGGTCCAGACCCCTGCCCTTTCTCTCAAAGGAGGTTAAGTGCCCTACTTTAGAAAATATTGCTTGAATATTTACATTAAAGAGAATCGTCAATAAAGACACATCCCGGCGATGTAATAGACCTTTCAGAAATACAGATAAATGATTTGTCAGACTATCAGGCGGTAACAGATTCTATGTTCAAGCTCCTACTCTACAGCGTGTTTTATGATTCGCTACGCAATAGGTTTGAAGAATAATTGTTCTGGGACTCAAAAACCAAAAAAAAGGCACAAGACTTTGAACGGGATAGCGCCTCTACGACCACTGGTAAAAAAGTGAGAAGAAAGAAACCAAGACATCTTTCAGTCTGTTTCAATGGCCCATATAATTGAAAGATTCGTAGAGGACCTTTGCATGAAACAAGCGAATGTAGAAAAATATTCGCGGACTGGTATTAGCAAGCAGTGAAGATACCACAATAAGTTAATGTTCAGCTGTTTCATTCCTCAGCTGAAGTTGATGTTCAGCTGTATTACAACTCAGCTGAAGTCAAGACTTGCAGGCAGAAACCAGCTGAACTCTAGGCTCGTGGACCTGTTAAGTCTCCTCCCATCTGTAATGCGAAGCATATAATTCAATGTTCTTAAGGCCGATCATATTTTAAAGAGCAAATTGTTTTCGGTTATGGAGAATAGAGGACTGATTTTTAAAAATGAGCTGCCGCCGATAGGGGGCAAGGGGGCAAATTGCCCTAGGGCCTCGAGGTCTAGAGGGCCTCATAAAGCAATTAATTCTGTTTTAACATGGAATTAATTGAAAGCAAAAAATTAAACTTAAAAAGTAAACAGTTTGAACGAATAAATGAATTCAAGCTATTCATAATGCGTGATCACAAAATTTTGTTGCTCTCTTCGCTCGCAAGAGGTCTTTTACCCCCCCCCCCCCCCTCGGGTCTCCAAATCCTCTCGGCGGCCCTGGATGGCAGACAGAAAGGAGAAGTCCGCTGAGATTTGAGCAAATAGACGAAGGAAAAAAATACAGACTCATACATCACAATTGTTTGCTATTGGTCAGTTTTCTTTGTAGTCAGGTATACTTACTGCTCGTATTTTTGGTGTACCTAAACAAATGCCCCAATGAACCTTCGGCGTACATGAAATGCACCCTGGCATCTCTTCTGTTGAACGTGAACGTGAATTAAATTTCCTTAATGCCCATTTTTTGTCTTGGACCCCTGCCCTCTGAAATTCCTGGTTGCGCGCCTGTGTTAGGCACAGTCTTTCTCAAGCACTGTCCTCTCAAATATATCAAATAATCCACAATAATCGTCATGCGCGATATCATAAATAACAATACCTATCCTATAAATCCATAGTTTATGCCGACAAGTTCTTTCACAAGCATCTTGCCACATTTATAAAGCGTCGAGAACCTAAATATACAAAATAACAAAACTGAACGTAATCGCTCTTAACCGTAATTCCATCTCCAACTTCAACTCCAACTCCAACGAACTCAAAAACTAACTCTAAATGCAACACGCCCAAAATATAACTAAACAAGGACTAATTGTAATGCTACATAGTTACGTAAATTTACATAATAATAGTGAATACAAAATATATTACTCCCAAGGTTAATTACATAAACAGAATAATGATACTAAAAATCCAAAAAGAAATAGTTAATGAATCTAAAGGTGCAATTAGAAAACAAAAGGAATTATAAGCAATCGAATGTGCAAATGGCGATAAAATTACTAAGTTTACAGGATGCAAAACAAACGAAATCCAAACCAGCACTATTACAGCGTTTCTAACATACCTTTGAATGCATCATGTCATTTGATACAAAATGAAGTAAATATTCCATCAAACTTTAAAGAAATATTATTGAAGGCCAAACAAAACGCAACCAACTTTCTTGTCAAAATCAATGTATGCCTCTTGAAAAAGAAGCCTGAAGTATCTACGCGTTAGAATCATGAAGTCCATGTTTTGAGTTAAAAGTCATCTGTTTAATTTATACTTTATGATAAAACCTAATAAGGGTAATAAGCTTTGAATGCACTTGTTAGCGTTTTTTCTTGTTATCTTGTGCACTTAAAACTGTACGTTCGTGGAAGTAACTTGAGATACAGCATATGGACTAATCTAGGATAAAGCAATTGAACAACCAAATTGTCTGTTAATTAGGTCTCTGACGGCCAGCAGAGCCAAAGAGACTCATCGAAAATCAAAATTTTCCCTTGAAGGGGGGCATGAGTCCGGACACCCTAAATACAGACAGTCCCCGAAACCCTAAACACATTTTGTATGCACTATGAGTGCTGTGTTCTCCACACAAAAGAATTTAGCTGTTAGTTTCCTGACAATCCTCTAAAAAATTGATTAATTTTTTCGCCCCTGGGAAAAGTACAAATGTTTTTTCTGGATAATACAGTACTGAAGGGACACAAAGACGTGTCCTTGAAGTGAGACAGTTTTAGGGGGTATGGCGGTGTGCGCTCCAATATAGTTTTGAATTTTATGGTCTCTTCTTTGTCTGCTGACCTCCTAGAGACCTAATAATCAGACAAGTCAGTCGTATCAAATTTCAATTAAGCTGGCCCCCCGGCCCCCCTGCCAGGCCACCACTGTATCTCAGCCAATTAGTCGATTGTCCAAATTGGAAAATTCTAAAAATAGATTTCTATTTGGATTGGAACTGCAAAAGGAAAAAGAAGAAACGACTCAATGCCTCTGTCTGGTCTGTCTGGATGTACACGAGGTTGTCTCTATGATCATGAAAATGGCGGACGAACGGAATTTTCGTCTTCCTTATTACGAGCAGTTAGGTCTTCGAAATGTCGATCAAGTTAAGGCCTTAGAGCACTTGTTAAAAGACGAAAAGCTAGATATTGTAAAGCTTTCGACTTTTGCGTTGAAATATACTCTCCACTCCTCGTACCGGCCATTTATATGGAAAGTGTTATTGGGCGTTTTACCGAGTTACCAAAGTTCTCACAAATTTGCTGAACAGTGTAGAGAAGAACAGTTTCAAGACTTAGAACGTGCTCTGCTAACAATGAGAATGATAACAAAAAAAGACTCAATTCAAAATAAAATTCTTTGGATGTATTTGCTTGAAAACGATATGATTAGCATGTCAAAACAAAAGACTCTTCAACGTGACGAGAGAAAGATCCAAATTATTAAGGCGATAGCTGAAGTCTGTTGTGATGTTGCAGAGCATGAAACCGATGCCTACTGGATAACAAAACGTTTTATTGAGATGCAAGATAAATATGTTGACTTGTATAGAAACCTTCCCAAATTTGTTACGTTTTATTTAGAGATTGAGGATAAGGCGCTGTTTGAGCATATGAACGACCTGCAGGTCTTTAAAGTGATGCCCTATAATAGATGGTTTGAGAGCTGCTTCGCAGAGATATTTCCAACTTGTGGACTTGAAAGAGTTTGGGACAAGCTTGTTGCTGGCTCCTGTAATATTCTGGTGTTTATGTGTGTTGCTATACTGTTAAGCTGCAGACTAAGCCTTCTAGAGACTAGAAGTGCTGAAGCATCAGTTCATGTTCTAAGAAATCTGCCTAAGGACAGAAGTAGGCAGTTAACTGCTGTAGATAAGTCTTTGCAACTGTGGGATAAGCACAGAAGTACCATTAGTGTTGAATTGGGTGCCCACAGTGATATATAACTCCATGCATCTTAATACTTGCCATCCAGTCTGCAATGCGCCACATCTGTGGAGAGCACTGACCTTTGTTAAGACCCCCAAACTGTTTTACCGATTTGTCTGTGGCAAGGAAAGGCTACAGAATGCATACTGGTTTGTCACTTTTTGTAATTCTTAATCTAATATTATGAAGTAAAAACTACTTTAGCAAAGCATGGTTGAACAGAAAAAAGATGTATGAAAATTTGAGGCTTCATTGCAATATAGAATAATACATAAGAACTAAAAAGGCATTTTATATGTATTGAAACCTTCCCAACAGATTTTTCTGCCTATGATCTGGTATAAGCTTAAGTATTCTTGACACATCCCCAAATTTTCTTTACTAAAATAAAGGGAGACAGGAAATTGTATTTTTTTCTATAGGTTTAAGTAAAATAACAACCTTACCACGGGCCTGTTTTTTTCAGTAAAATATGATCTTAAGTTAACTCTATTTGAGGCTGAAATAGCATATGAACAGTCTGTAGCAACAAAAATAGTTTTTTTGTTTTTTTTATATCATTGTGAATTTTATGTAGTTTTGTACATGCCTATTTCAGCCTGATCAATGCCTTTTCAATGCCTTTGAAATTTATCATGAAATCTATTGTAACTGAATCAATAAACTTTGAAAAAATTTAAAAGAATGTACTTGGAAAGAATGTATCAAAGTAATTCTGTATGAATGATATTGACGAAGTGTTTCTCAATGGACTTTTCTATATCCTATAACTCTTTTATTTGCAGCAGGAAATTGGAGAAAAATCTGACTTTGAACCAGTTAAAACAGTCTGACATATAAAAAGCCAGACTGACATGTATAAAAAGAGCCCAAATCAAGCACCACAAAGTAGATACCATAATTTAACATCTGGGGTATCAAGCACTCAATGCAACCAGAATAGATATATCATCACATTACCAACATTGACTGATATCACCCACCCTGTACAGTATCTAAGAAAATGAACAAGACCTTGAGATGGCAATTGAAATAAATTATATGTAACACTGGAACAAAATCCTGTTCTTTTTGCAAAAATCCTGGTAATATGAAGTTTGTTAGCATGCTGGTAATCGCATGACTGCAAAAGTGATAGCCTTTTAAATCTAATATATACATTTGGAGGGGTCTATCACTGTTTGAAAAAGTGTATAAGGTTTTTATAAGATAAATATTTTTTATTGCTTTTAAAAAGATGTTTCTTGGAAGGAATAATTTAAGAAAATGCATGCAGTTTTTTTAGGTTGTTGCCACTACTCTGATCTTGTATGAAAACATTTTAGGGAGTTGCACGAAAACAGAGACATTTGTTACCAAACCGAAGTCATTCGACAGGGCTCTTCAAAGTGGAGTCATTCGAAAGTGGATTCATTCGATAATGCATCGTTTTAATGGGAACGGCAAAAACAGCGAGAACAAAGGATATGAAAACGGATGAAAACGAAGCAATGGGATCACCTTCGTTTTAGTTTTGACCAAAATGGAGTGACCCGGAGTAGTGGCAACGGTTAAAGAAAAAAGGAAGCAGAATGATCTTTAAAATAAGACTTACGGCAACAGAGTAATGGAAAGAAGGCCTGTGATTTTGATTGAAATGATTTGCCCCCAGAAATGCCATCAAGATTTGCAACTTTAGACAAACTGAGCTTTGCTAAAATTGACTTTAAAGAAAGTTTAGAGAAACAAAATTGAAAAAAGAATAATCATTAAATACGTGGCACTGCACATGCAAAAAAGCATGCTTGGAGAGTTTTAGGAGGATATGTGCGGGCGTTCGCGTGCCATCGCACGCTTATATTCGTACGCTTGCAAAAAATTTTAGTGATACAATATTCAAATGGTGCTGAAAAGCAAACAGTTTTAAACATGCTAAAGCTTTCCTTCTTACAACCTTCAATGTTAGAATAATTTTAAGAAGTTTAAACTATGAAATACTTGGCTGGTGCAAAAACACCGTCATGGGGTTGGTGCAAAAACAGCTGGGCTTACCTAAGAAGGGGGACCTAGAACGATGCTAATTTGAAAGGCTGATAATGATGCTGAACAGACACAAGCCGAAAAATATCCCAAGTGTTAATTTTGGACTGGGGAACTTGGCCTAATTCCTCAATTTCAGATTCATCTATACGTAGTAAACTAACGTTTAATAAGGTATAGTTTTAAACACAATTCAATACAATAAGAGCATAATAAGAAGACAATAATTTTCTTTGATTCTATTTTTAGATAATGGTTCTTGGTTCTAGGCCTCTTTGGCTGTCTAACTTTCGGTTAAACAAACAGCATTTTTAGAAAAAAGTAGAATATTACCCCTAGATACTGCAAATGGTAGACCCAGGTCACTTTTTAGATCTTTTTCTATCGTAAGTTATTAGTCATTCATTACTGTTTTTAACATAAAAAGTTTAGCATTTTGTCAGTGATGGCGCTAGAAATTCTCCGACGGAAGGGCTTGACCTCCGACAGGGCAGCTAGGCCGAGCTAGGCAATCGAAGAGAAAACATGGAATACCAGTTGCAAAAAGACGCACAATCATTAAGATTATGCCACGACATGAATTTAACAAACAAGAAAGAGCAGCAACCTAGAGCGGGATTGATATTTTTTTGGGGAACTCGCTTTTATAACAAAATGTCCGTAAAAGGTAAAATACATATACTAAGAAACCCCTTTGTACATCTTTTTCCGTGCTTTTTCTATATTCTCGACGTTGTAAACTTTTCTGTGTAATTAAAAAGACGTCATTTAATTATTATAGGAACCGTAAACAAAATAGAAACCGTTTTTACGTAAGTAGGTTAGGTCTTTGCTATCTTGCAGATTATTGCGCGTGTCACAATAAACTTGTTATCTGAAAGTTACAATCTGTAACCCTGGTTGCCGCAAAAGGTGAGGAAATTTTCGAATTTTGATGATTCCAGTTTGATGAAAAATGCAATCACTAGATCAATTTTTTCTACCTTTACAATACAACTTTATTCTAAGAATTAATTCACATGCCGAATTAAATCACATTAATTCACTTTTTGTTGATAATTAGAATCAATTTAAATCTAAGAAAGTCATAAAAAATGGTTCTATCAGTCCCCCATCCGTACCACTTATTAAATCTCTCACTAATATTTGGGCAGTTGCCCCTCCTTCAACGAGTTGAAGCAAGTCTGGCGCCCCTTTTTGGAAATTCTGCGCCCCTTTTGAAGAATGAGACTCAGATGAAAAAGGTTCTTGGACCAAAAGGTTTATTTGCTTCAAGGTTACCTCAAAGTTATATTGTTTATTCTGAAAAGTATCTGAAATTGTTGTATACAGCGTACTCTCATAACCAATTTTTTAAAATTTTTCAGCGCCCCCACTACTAGCTGTCCCTCCTTCAAATTTGCTCTGGATCCGCCCCTGTTTGGAAATACTTATTCAAAACCTCTGGAATTCAAATAATACCAAATATTAAAATCATATATTATAGAGTTAAGATAAGGTAAGGTGTAGGCCAGAACATACTAGAAAACTTTGATTTTGTCAAAAAAATCCAATGTCCAATTGTTTATAAATTTTGTAAGATTTTCATCTTGTGTATTCATCTTATGTAAGCTTTACATTGAATGATTCATCACCTTCCAATTTAAGATTCTGGTGTCCTCTCAAATACCCAAACTTTGAAATGAAAAATCTAAATATACAGCACTTGAAACAAAATCTACCTTGTTGTCATCGAGCCTGCACAGTGTAACAAATGCACACAAAAGATTGCACATGCACGACATGCACACTGTAATGTTTTGTTCAGCGAAAGGAAGCTTAAGCGGGGCTTAAGCCCCCCCCAAGATTTTAGTTAGCCCCCCCCCCAAGATTTT